TGCGTGTATTCGTTGCCGCAGGAAAGTGTGTACCGTGCCGTTGCCTAGCAACGATAGGACAGATACACATACATACACACTGATAGGAAGGATTTATGAAGTACGCCGTTGAATTGAGATCAGGAGCCATTATGTGCATAGCAAGTTTCATGAAGATTGGTTCAGGTATTCAAAAGTTAGTATTGGGAGATACACAGACAGCATGGAGATCACATAAGCCTACTTCTGTTTGATTATTCTTTTCATTTCTTTCAACTACATAGCGTCATATGGGATAACTTTGTCTCAGTATGTGTGAGTTTGTGCCGTGTCAGTTTCATCAGATGTACTATTAACTAGAACGGAAACAAACTCTAAATTATGTTCTTTTCTAGTTAATAATACATCTGATGAAACTGACACGGCACAAACTCACCCCATTTGACGGTATGCAAAATGGATTGTTGTAAGTCATAATGTCTTCCCAATATAAAACAATGGTGTATGTTGTTATACAGGCATTTGAGAAATAAGGTCTTCACTCAAATTCGGGTATTTTCTCGTGTTTTCTACAATAAAATGCCAAAATAACAGACAGACTGCTTACCGTTCCTTTCCCCTGAATCTCAACCCTTTAAAGGACCACCTGCTCAACACCCAGAAACTTAGCTTTTTGCTTGTATAGTGTACTGTTCGTGTTGTTAGGCCTGGCCGCTCTTAACGGAATGCGCAGTGAATGTGGTCGAGTCCACTTACTTGAGATAAGGGGTGTAGGGTGTGTGCGGGTTAGCCAAACAAAAGCGTCATTCTCCCTCAGCATTTCGCGCGATTGTCACCGTTATCAACAATTGCATAATCAGCGTTACCCGGTTGTTCCTCGTAGTGGGTATGCATCATGTTTCCTGTAAAGTAGGAACTGAATAAACACTGCAGAGGGATCATGATTTGCGTCTTCAGGCAGATACTGGAGAGTTACTTAACACAGTTTTACAGAGTTTTGTATCAAGGCTCGGCCATTCATTGGCTCTCAGACAAAATGAAATGTACTCAAATTTTCAGCAAAAGATATGAACCCCGTCTGAGAAGCAGCTGAACTGTGACGTGCTCCTACATAGTAATGTTTCTCAACCTTTGTGAGACCGCGGCCCGGCGGTTGAGAAACACCGCTCTATAAGATATTAAATGTCTTATTGGTTACGAGTCTCATGAACCCTCGGATTTCAGTAACACTCTATTTCGGCCGCTTTTTATCTTCATTTGTTATTATTATTTCAACAGTTGAAGTGACAGGAGGCTGGAGAAAACTGCATAATGAGGAGCTTCATAACTTGTACTCTTCTCCAAGTATAATTAGAATGATCAAGTCAGGGAGGATACGGTGGGCAGGGCAAGTAGCACGAATAGAGGAGACGAGGAATGCATATAGCATATTCGTGGGAAAGCCATAAGGAAAGAGACCACTGGGAAGATCAGGGCGTAGGTGGTTGGACGATATTAAAATGGATCTTAGAGAGATAGGATGGGATGTTATGGATTGGATTGATCTGACTCAGGATATGGACCAGTGGAGGGCTCTTCTGAACACGGTAATGGACCTGCCGGTTCCATAAAATTCTGTGAAGTTCTTGAGTAGCTGCACAATTGGCAGCTCCTCAAGAAGGGCTCAGCTCCGTGAGTGAATTATTTCAACCCAGAGATTGGGCGGTATAAGCCCGTTCTGATACTCAGACTTCTTTAAAATTATCTTTCCATCTACTTCTCGGTCTTAACACGTCTTCGGCAGTCTACTGTCTTGCATCCCAATTACATTCCCCATCTTGCATTGTATCTCTCGTTTCAGTAAGTGCGATCATCTTACAGCTTGCCGCAAATCACTTAGCCCCTCGGCCGGAGAGTCTGCCGCTGCTGTGCGGATGCGAGCTCCCAGCCTTACGGCACGCCTGTAACGTTACAGATTGCAAATAAAACTTACCACGATGATAGGAGATACTGAATCTCTTCTGGGTAGTGTGTAACAGACAAAATTGTGGTTAATATATGCTAAAGGTAACATATTAATCTTAAGATTTGACGCTTTCACGGCGGTGACTATGAAGAATGCAGTCTTCTTATTAATCTCAGATTGTCTCTTTCTGGGGTCGGTACCCAGCAATGGAAACTACATGCTTTGCCCCTCCTCATCAGAATGAACTGTTGGCTGCAGTAGGCCTACCAAAGATATTTCTATCGTCACCGCAGAAGGCAGAAGGCGAAATCTGCACAATCCAATTCATTTGTTCTGTTTCTAATGGCCAACTGCTATTGAGACCGCATCTCCTCATGCCTGTACGTGTTTCATCCCTCGTTTTCGTCTTTCACATCCGCTTGGAAACAATATATCCATGGCTTTTGTGTATCATAATCACAAGTAGTGTGTCCCCCACCCCTGATCCGCACAGTATCCAACAGTTGCTATGGAAACGACGTAACGTCATGCCTGTTCTATTGGATACTACTGTAGACATCGCCTTGTAACCATAGGAACGAAACAGCATCGTTGCCAGACGGCACTCGCTTCAATTTCATGCAACGCTCAATATTGTCCATTGACTGAGGGTGTCTGAGAACAGGGTGTTGAGGAGAATGTGCGGAAGTGACAGGAGGTTGAAGAAAACTACATAACTTGTACTCTTCAGCAAATATAGTTAGAATGGTCAGGGGGATGAGATTTACAGAGCATGTAGCATGAATGGGGGAGAAGATGAATGCATATAGGATATTCGTGGGAAAGCCAGAAGGAAAGAGACCACTAGGATGACCAAGACGTAGGTGGTGGATAATAATAAAATGTATCTTAGAGAGATAAGAGGATGAGATGGTATGGACTGGATTGATCTGGTTCAGGATAGGGTCTAGTGGAGGGCTCTTGTGAACACGGTAATGAACCTTCGGGTTCCACATAATGTTGGGAAGTTCTTGAGTAGCTGCACAACTGGCGGCTTCTCAAGAAGAGCCCAGCTGCAAGGAATTAGCTAGTTAGTTAATTGTGAGCTGCTCTGTGAGTTGGGGGGTGAAGAAAGGTGTGTGTACGATCAGGCGAAATGTTCTTGCAACGGCTTAATCTTAAGCGGAATGTATAAAGAATGTCGGAATTGTTCCAGTCTGTGTTTCTACTTCCTAAACGTGTTTGAAAATTGTAAAAGTGTTTACTTCATGATGCAATACACAGAATTCCCAACCCGGCTCCTTGCAGTAGTGCTGTAACTTGAAGAGACTGTTCTTACAGCGGGAAGGGAACGGTCACTTCAAATTGACGTGTAAATATGTCACGGGCTGCGCCGGAAAGAAATACTCAGACATGTTGCCAAACAGGCTCTGTACCCATGTAAGGTATGCCGCACACCGGCATGCGTCAAGACATGTAACAATCAAGACACGATGTCTGCGACATGACGCAAAGAAAGGAGCACAGTTGAAACGAATGAGATTATGAAAACCGCCGCACACCGGTCTGATTCATTATCCCGACGAATCACGAATGAAGCAAGACTGCGTCATTTGTCTCATGTCTTGATGCTTGTCTTGACGCAGTTGGTGTGCGGTCGCCCTTAGATTTGCGGTCTTCATATCGGTGGATGTTCACATTGCAGTCTTCTGGCTTATGTCACGGGGCCATAATGTCCGAGACTGCAACATGTATCTAACATAACATGAAGGCCGCGACGCGTCGGTATGAGAAAACTTGCTGCTTGCCTGCTCGGCATGTTGACCCTTTCATCTTGAAGGGTGCAGTATGTTGCGCTGATGGGGGGGAGGCAAACGAGGCGACTCCGCAGCTGAATTTTTGGGAAATGTCAAAATTAGAAAGGAAGCAAATGCATGAAACACTAAAACCGCATTTTTGTACTGTTCCTGCATCGTAATTACCCTAGAGAAATGAGTAAAAATTGTCGTAAAGGGCTAATACGTAAGTAAAGAGATTTTCCTTCTGAGTCCCCTCCCACGAAGACTGGCTGTACCCTCTCCCCCGGGAAAAGAGACCCAGGTGGTGACCATGTCCCTGGCAAGAAATACGGGGTAGAGGGTCATATCGCTTGGGTCCCTGTAGGTCTCCTGCGACTCTCGACACTTCCCCGGGCGCCGCACTTTGCTGCACAGGTGGATCTATGTGCACGTCTGCGTTTGCCACAGTAAGCACTGTATATCTGCCAAGAGGATTCGAAAATAGAGCGCTAGACTAAAAATATGCGTCCTTGCTTGGTATGGGGATATACTGCTCTCGTCATGTCAGTGAGGCCGTGGAGGACCCGTATTTCCACACTTGAGCTAATTCTACAGGGTGATTCACTCAGAAGAGGCCCAGGATAAATATAAATCACATGATGATCTACCAATTAAAACGAAATTTTCGGAGCACGTACCTCGGTAGATGTGGAGATAATTGGGTTTCCGTCCTCCTGGAGACACAGGCAGACACGAAGCTCCATATCTGTGAATTTTAACAGCGAGCATGGCAGGAAAGGTGGCAGCAGTGGGAGTAATGGCGCTAACTAGGCAGCAGACGCCTAGTCAGTATTGCGCACTGCACAGTGTTTCCGGTACAGTATCGTTCTATTCACAATTATTAATTCGGAGTCATATCCGAGTGAATCACCCTGTAGATCCTCGTGGTGCTGAGCAGTTAGACCTAAACTTCGGAAACTACGGCCCGTGACAGCTTCTCGTCCGGTCCGCGAGGACTATTGTGAAAATGTTTGGATTACCTTCTTCTAAGGGACCCAACTAGGTAGGTACGTGAGGATGGGAGCAGATTCACCTTCCAAAACTTTGTGTTCTGGTTAATATCAAGTTATAGATGAAGCCCAGGAAACTAGAATACTCTGCCATGTGACGCCGTGGAGTCCGGTCAATAACTATCACAATTTAGGAGGAAACTGCACCCTTCGTCTTCATGTTATTCCCATGTAGTCTCTGTAACGGGCGGTGGCAGATTAGCTGCTAACACATGTCAGTGTGTGACGTCGCGTTGTCCTGTGTTGCAGGTCGCTGCCGAAACTCAGCAGCCAAGACGAGGACGGGCCGACCCCTCACAGCCAGTTCACTGGAGTGCAACACTTCGAACCCATCCCACACGACCACGACTTCTGTGAGCGAGTCGTCATCAACGTGAGTACCCACGGGACATTCAGAATGTCCTTCATTTCGCGGGAAAGCAAACAAATTAAGTTTAACTAGTTTAACTAGCAGAATGCGTGCGTATAGCCTCCGATAAGCCGTCTGGTGGCGCTCCCATCGGCGTTTCAGCGCACTTACTGCAACGTAATTACAGACTGTCCATCAAGTGGCGCTCCTATCGGTGTTCCCGCGAATTCGTTGCAACTGACAAGGATCGGACGTAACTGCAGCCACCGCCAAGCCGTCAAGTGGCGTAAATATTGACGTTGTCTCGAACTCATTGTGGTTTATGCGTAAAGGGCTTTCAGTTTCTCTCTCTTTGTGTTTCGATGTTTAATGTGATATACAGAGTAAACGTTCCCATGTAAATAATATTGCCACCATCAGATGTCAATCTTAAGAGCTCATTTGGTTATTCGCGCTACGTGCTTCGACTTCTTAAAAAGGCATCGTCAGAGGCTTGTCACTCAGCTTGTAAGAATACCCCGTGACCCATACTCCACTCTGATCGCTAAATTGTATGAGGCAGTCGATTGGTGAATGATGAATTTGAAGGGATGTAGGAGGAATCGGCCGTGATCTGATTTTAGGTACAATCCCGACACATATATGGGGAACTGAGGAAAATCACAAAAATCTTCAGTCACGATAGTTATTGTTTCGGCCAAGATTCGAGCGGGAGACTTCTGGAATACAAGACAGCAGCGAGAAACACTGCAACAGACTTCCCATATTTGAAGGTTCCCACACAGAGCCCGCTTGTCATTCCCGTAAGGGTAGGTTGGAAAGAAGGTAAAGTGTTGGGAAGTGAAGAAGGAAACTATGGAAAGCCGACTGTTTCGTTGGGTTTGAAGTTCCCACGGTGGCGATTTTGTCTTCAGGAACGTGACCTTACGTAGGCTTTTAGAAGCTCTACAGGCATGCATGCCGATGCTAAGAATATTTGGAGCTCTCCCTCAACTCTCCATACATCTTCATGGTGGCATGCTTAACTCATTAAGCACAGGAATGTCTTTACTTTTACCTTCTACGCGGCGTTATACTCCAGAAAGTATAACTCCCGTTGGATTGTTTTGTGGCTCTTGATTCACGCTGGTTTCTCGCTTAGCTTATTCTTTTGCCCTGAAGATGGAGGCGATATGTTCCTCCGAAACTTTGGTTGAGTTTATTTATAGATCTGCATGGATCCTATGGTTGTATATGTACCAAGTGCGTTCAGAATGGATCGGAGAGGCTTGGATTGAAAGCGCTGGAGGATTTCGGTGTTGGAATTGGAGGCTGCCCCCCATATCTCAATTCCATAGGTCCATACGGGTTTGAGTACTGCTTTAGGTGGAGCGGTATAAATAATGACCACTGTGCTTTACGGGGTCGGTGTTGTGAATGGTGTTCTTTAAATTGGTGGATGGATGTATGTCATAATTGTCATTATTTAAAATTCTGCTTCTTTCGAGTGAGAACTATTTAGAAACAAAATATCCGGGAACGCGTCTGTGCAGGAAGTCACCTATGGCTTTGTAGACAACCTTTATCTCCTTTATGTTCGTGAAGTCAGCTGTGAGTTATTCTCGTGCCCTAGCCATCTCGTCCTTCTTATTCCTGGTAACCTAGCAACGTCAGACTTGGTGGTGACGACAGCGCCGCCTGTTGCGTCACACCACCGTCCGAGGGCGCAGATCAGCCCCTCACGCCCTTGTGCTGTTTGTGTGCCCAGCGGTCTCGTAACCAAACTTTACGTGCCCCCTTTTCAGGGCCGATTTTATTTGTGTCTCACGCAACAAAATACAGAGACTCTTTGTCGCGTTGAAAACTAAATGGTCTCCATGGAGACATGTAGCGAAGTGGAGGTATAGCTCCATGCATTCTTAACTTCAGCATTAGACTGGAAGTTGGTGGTCAGATTCACGCCCCTGTCGCTTTAACCCTGCGGAAAGAGCCACGGTACCCATTGGATAGGAGGCTGGGTGGGCCCCAGAGCCGGTCTGGACTCTGTAAAGAAAAATGTATCGTACCATTCTTGGAATTGAACCCCGATTCCTTGGCTATTCAGCCCGTAGCCTAATCACTATATAATCTGAGCTGTTCCGGCGCACCTGTTCTCCCTGTAAAACAAACTCCGTTTATTCCACGCAAAAAAAACTTTATACGTAAAGAAGTAAACAAGTCGCTTACGTAGGACCGTTTTGCCTGTGGTTGTTCCCTTCTAAACCTTTGTGTGTCCTCAGGGGGTACATGTGCCCTCCCTTGCTCAGAACCGCTCCTACAGTTTGAATTGAAATCTCAAAGAAGATCGGCTCGGTTTTACGACGCTTGTCGCGTTCCACTGGTTGCTGGTATTGCTTCATGGGATGGAATTACAGATCCGACACTTTCCATGGTTTTCCTCAGTTGCTTCAGTAAAACATAGAGCCACAAATTATGCAATTACAGCGTCATCTCTCGTCACTTCCGCTCCGCCAGAAGTTTTCCGTCCTTCTGCTGTTTCTCGCAGCTGGGAAAGAGCGTCGTTACGCAACCCTCGTCACAGTTAAGTGAGTGGACGCCCCACGTGTGGCTGAGACCAACCTCTGAACCCATACAGAGGTTAAGAGGGACATCGACTCAGAAATGGAAATTAGGAGATCGGTAGGATGCAAGAATAAAGAGCAATGCAAAGAATAGAGATATAAAGGGGAAGTCCCGTCATTTGATATACAGAGTGTTCAAAGAGAAAAGGTCAATATTGTGTGAGGTCATAGTTTCGGTCATTCTAAGCAAAAAATGTATATGTACAAGTGTCCCATAACAATGTATGCGATACGTACACTTGACAAAGGCGAAGCGTGTTCCTAAGAGACAAACCCATCTCTTCAGAGTGGATGTTACATAAGGACTATTACCGCAAGGGTTCGGTTACAGAAAAACTATGGTCATGAGCCTCAAGGGGCTTGGCAGAAAATCGAACTGATTGTCTGTAAATCGTCAGTCTTAAAGTAACTCTGTCTCTGACTCTGAGAAGGTGGAAAGCATTTCCCAACATCTTATGGAACCCGAAGTTTCATTATCGTGTTGTCAAGGGCTCGCCACTAATCCCTGTCCTGAGCTAGATGAATCCAAGCAAAACCCTCCGATCCTATTCCCTTAAGATCTGTTTTAATATTATTGACCCATTGAAGCCTAGGTCTTCCTGGTGGTCTCTTTCCTTCGGGATTAAAATGTATGAACGTCTCTTTCTTGCGTTCTGCATGTCCATTATAGCTTATCCTAACAGAATCCATGAAGCTGAGTCCTTGAGAAGCCAGGAGCTGCACAGCCACTCGAGAAATTCCTAGAATGCTAGAGAACCCTAAGGTCCAAGGTTCATCGCCTTGTTCACAAGAGCCAGCTACTGCTCCCTATTCTGAGCCAGATGAAACCAACCGTATATGTAACCATTTTCGTAGATTGAATGTCATTGGTGATTGTGGTGCTTTCGGTTTTCCATACCTCGAGTCCGTATTCACCCAGGATGGTATTTAATGGTTGCATATGCAGTTCTGCCTCCCACGCGGTGATATTATTAAAAAGTTAATATCTTTAGCAGTCAGTTTAACGCTGTTTTCGCAACATTTTATGTGGCTAGCGTAGATCGTGTGACCGTAATTAAAAGTATTCAGGTTATTAATTTTAACGAGGACGAGTTAACCCGTTTCAGTGACAGGAGGAAACAATTGTCACGTCGAGCCGGGCCTCAGAGTGACGCAAGTGGCAACTTTTAAAAATATATCCCAAGGCCCTGTAATGCTGTTCATAGAGCAGCAGATATTAATAATGTCACAGCCTCTGTCTGCGCAGGCTGTGTTGCGGAAGGTTATTGAGAAAATGGAGACACTGGTCCTCAGTTTCAAGAACTGTGTTCATGTCTCGTCGCGGTCACATTTAACACATCCGGGTACTTTGTCCCACACACCTCATTTCTGTGACGTTCACAAGACAATTCTTTTGGGGCAGGCTGTGTGAGGGAATTGTATTTTCTGACTAAAATGGCTGAACTGCGTTTACAATTTCACACTCATAAAATTGAAGAACTCTAAAACTGATGCAAGTGCGGCTACATCGTACCATGGTTACTGTGGAAAATATTGTGGCATGTCTGCTGAAATTCACAATTGTGAAACCAGCAGAGCCGTTTCTAGGGAACGGCTCTGCGAATATTCACGTTGCTAGGCAATGGTTCTGTAGCCGTCACATGATGGCCGCAACAGACACTCTGTTGGAAGCGGGGTTTTCTGTGTGATCCGTGCAGAAAGCCAGCTGCCATTACGAGTGAGTCAAAGAGAGAGTCTGTAGGCAGACAGTTGAGAGTTGCAGTTGTCAGAAGTGAGAAGCGGGTAGCTGATGCAGGACAGTTATGGAACTCAGAGGAAGGGGTTGTCCGCCATTGAAGCCGCTGCTAAGCAACGGCTAGTAAAGACAGAACACTAGTCTGTGTGTGATAGTGATTTGTAAAGTGTAGTTACGAGTTGTTCAGGAATCCAGTAAATCCGATTACCTGTCCGAACCCCTTCTATAGTCACACTTATCACGTGACCATTGTTGTCACCATCATAATGCTTTTCTTATGGTAGGAAGTTTGGCGAAAGAATATTATATGTAAGCATCCTGTTACACTCACACAATATATATGAGACAACTCCGTCTTAAGTGCAACAATTTAATTGTAGTTCTTCCTTCTTTATTTCCTCCACACTACATGTTTCGGCCCTAAATGGCCATCATCAGGTGTATATTCTTACGTAGCTGCTACACTGCCCGTAGTTTAAAATTTAAAACACCAGTCTTTTCAGTTGTATGTATGTATAAAATCTTTGTTAACCTACACACGTCAATTTGATTTCTAAAATTGGCACTTTTTAAAACTTCAATTTCAAATTAAAATGTCTTTAAATTTTCCGTTCTTTTCCAAATTTTAAAAATTAAAATTTCTCGGGGTACTCGCCCCATGTCTATAGTGCTGCAGCGGCCACTTCTTC